CTGATAGACAAAGTAGATTTTTTTGTTTACACAAAAAAAAGATCCAAAAACAAGTCTAACATTCATTTGACATGTTCACACTGTCTCACAGCTGTTTCATACACAATCATACAAAAAATAAAAATGTATTTAAGAAGCTGGTCACAGCTAATGCATTATTGCATTATTGCATTAATCATTAATCATTATTTTCATAATAGCTACTACAGTCTTATTATACCGTGTTATCCTTTGACGATGACTCATTAAAATGCCAAATATTTAAATAATAATAAAGAGAACATTATTAATACGACATAAAACATGTTAGTGTGTGGACTATATCAACTAAAACACATAAATTATGTTCCAATATTTAGGAAAAACACCACATTTCTATTCCGTTTGTGAGGTTGGGGCATCTGGATATACTGTAAGTGTGGGCCTGTGTGTGTGTGTGTGAAGAAGCTTGTTAATAGTCCCTTTTTCTTGTGTGTGCATGTGAGACTAAAAGAGAGACCTTTGCACAACCAATGAGCCAATGAACAAACACCCACAGGTTAATAGGTTGTCTATGTTTACTGGGACTGCTGGATGAACACACACACGCGCACACACACAATATCTATAGTACACACTCCATCTCCCTTCGAACATTTGGCGCCCACTGTTTGTCCTGATCTCCTCCATGCTGCTGGTTCAGAGGTCACGCTCTACACAGCCAACAGCCTGTGGTTAATCCATGGGGGCGCCACTTAAAAAATCTGCTGTCTTCTGACTCAAATCATCGTCTCTCTCTGCTACCATATGAATACATGGTTCTTCACAGCGGTTTAGAGCGCCAGTGGTCCACTGCCTACTCTAACATCAGTAAAAATGAATACGCTTACACTGAAATAAGTCATTAACCTGAACTGCCAAAGTCATGCGTTTGGTTAGAGCTCATCCAGTAAGGAAAAAACAATGACAAAAACAGAACAGAACAGTCGGGTAAAAGGATAGGAGGTTTATGAAGAAAGAACAAAAATTTGCTTTCATTAGGCCAAATGACTCTTAAGGCTTAAATAAATCTGCAGATTGAAGTCAGTGTGCAGGCATTACATCGCCATTTAACGTTCATTTCTTACAGCAATGCCTGCAGGGATGTGTCTGTAAATACAATATTCTCTCAATACAGCTAACCAGAAGTTTTGTTTTTTTCTTTACTACGGGTTGCAGTTGAGGTGAAGGGAATCAGACTAATTCCTGGGAGGCCTGGCTCTACTGCTACAAGGTTTAAAAGAGTCAGAAGCTGCTGCTGGTTAAACTTGACAATCTACAGCTGCGCCATTGTTCTGTTACTGGGCAGTCTACACACACACAGACACACACAGACAACAACCAGACAAACACCAACCACACACACAACAACACACCACGGATGTTACGATGCCCAACAGAAAAAAAAACCACCACACACACACAGAGATGTAAACTCAAACTTCAACCCTACACACACACACACACACACAGGCGCATTATAAGAGCTAAGTGAAGCTGAAAAGCAGATTTCCACTCGATCTTCTACACCTCAAGGTCAGAGGTCACCTGTCAGCTGCAAAAAACAGTGTTTACAGTGTTTACAGTG